TATTTTTATGTTCTTATACATATTATAGTGACGGTTTATAATGGTTGTTAACTACCGTCAACATTCACATATTTAAATAACTAGATCTAAAGTTTAGGTGACTACAGTTTATTACACGATATCAAACATGTCCGAAGGCACACTTCGTGTTTGAGGCAGTCATTAGCATTTGCAAATTTAGAAACTGAACGACCAGTGTATAGCTGAAAACTTAATTTGACACAAAAAGCACTTTCCTAAAGGAGGGATTCCTGTAGTTTTTTTTTTTTTTGAGGAAACAGGGATTCCTGTAGCTGTAGCCTGCTTCTAACATACTCCGTAGTAATTATAGGATGACTGCCGGGCTGTGTTGGCAGTTAAACGGGCCAACTGTTGGGCTGGCAGCCCAAGAATAAAAAGAGGAAGGCGTGGGGAGAGAAACGGGATCGACCCAGTGAAAAGATGAAGTGGGCTGAAAAGAAAAATAAAGAAATAGAAAAGGAGGAGCGGATCTGTGGGCTGGGTTTAAAAGGATTTCAGCCAAAACAGTTTTTAAAGCGTTTTCGATTCTGCAAACCATCCTGAAACTGTATTTTGAAATTATAAAAGTTTGAAATTTGATTTTTAAACTAAACTTGAAATAGTTGTCGAACACATTTGGAAACCCCTTTCAAAGTCTATTTTTAATTCATTTTAAAACAAAATTTGAAGCCCTTTTAAAGGCAAATTTGAAACTTCTTTTTCAAAAAAAAAATCCAATATATTTCTAAAAACTTTACTTTCGAAAATACAACAAAACCTATTTTAACTTAATTATTTAAAAACCATTTTTCACTCAATAAAATTAATGTAGAGGCGTAAATGAATGCAACCAATTAAATTAATATGCATTTAAAAAAACACATTTTCCACTCTCTAAATTAGAAACAAATTAAATAAAACTTGGTAAATTTTATATAATATTTTCAAATTTATGTTATCAGGCATTCCTATTCACTTATCAAATAGGAATGTTGGGTGCATAACATCCTTGCTTGCTTATTATGGTTTATTATGCACAAGCATTTTTTCATGCACGTTGACCCACTGAATACCTCACTAAGACTTACACATGGATTGCAATGCTTGCAAAAACTATATGACTTAAGCCCCCTTTGGCACGGCTCATCCAAAACGGCTTCACCGGTGAAGCCAAAGCCGATAAAGCCAGAAAAATTGGCTTTTCCTGGCTTCTAGTTCATTTTAACCCCGGCTTACAAAATGGCTTCACGCTATAGTGCCTCGATTTGCACAAAATAGATGAAGCCAAAGCCGGCATAAGCCGTGCCAAAGAGGCCCTTATTTTACACTATGTAACTTTGAGTAAATTGCATAGAATCGAATACTATCACAAGAATGATTTGTTGATATAAAACATGCTACATTTATGCACTGATCACATTGGTTTGGCTCCTTCTTACGTGGTCTCATTGTATACATCACCTTTGATTTACACGTGGGACTGCATTGTTTACATAGACACTTTGGGCTATTTAAAATTAGTAGTCTCAAATTTCCATAACCATGAAATTTATTTTTTGATACATTTTCTATGAAATATGTATTTGAAATCTAAACTTAATGATCTGAAAGCATAAATTCATTTGGGATACAAAATAGTATTTTTGAAGAAACAAAAGCAAATTTGTTGAGGTCAGGGTTATGCTATTTACACTAGTATGGTGTTACTTCACATGATTTCATTTGCACTTAAAGGTTATAATACCCTTGACTATCGACACCAATACGGTGGTTTCATTTACACTTATGGTTACACGATCCACATGATTGTGGTCATTTACATCATTTCATTTCCATTTTTAGCTAGAATATTTAGTTTCAGGCCCATGTTGCATCATTTGTACTACCCATGACTTGTTTACTAATATACAAGGTACAATATTTTAAGATTCTAGGGTTTTTTACACCATTCAAAAAGTTATTTTCTTGTGCATTGGATAATGATTTGCTATGGGTTACATGTTATATATACATATTTATAATGTCCAATAGTACAGACTACTCAAATCCGCTCTAGAGGCTTGGTGAACCACACCTACTCCCACCAACCCACTTACAATTCCGTTCTCGCTTCACATAAAAGGGTTAACCTGAGGACGGTAGTATGTACTCGAGAAGCCTTATATGTTGGGTCTAACCCACCCTCAATCATGGTGGTACTAAATCACCCATAGTCTCACATCAACACAAACATGGATGACGACCATGGACAAAATTCAAATTGAGCCGGATGTCACATACATCCCCTTCAAAGGGCTTGACTCTCTCATTGGCTCAACACACCCACAACTGGGAAGACAATGATAGAGAACAGCCCCTCTTAGCGCCCGTGGCTATTATCCAATACCAATGCCATACGCCGTCTGTGCACCTTGATGAGGATATGACACCTATGGATATGTCCATGAAAGTTAAAGATAAGGTGAGCTCATTCCTATGTTTTCACAACTACATAAATAAGAATTTATTGCTAGCTAATGTTGTTGGTTTCAGTATACTTAGGAACATCGATAATGATGATGTCAACTTTGGAATGACGCTTTCTATGGCATCTACGATTGATCATCATCTTGAATACCATATTTACCATCTTTGATTTATACTAAGCTTTCAAAGTGAGACCAATACATATGCAAATCATTATGTCTCATATGTCATGTCAACACACTTGCTTGCCAGATTTAATATAAAAATCACATTGCATGTCATAACAAAGCTTCATAATAGAGACAAAATGATATTCATCAACCCATGTCTCTTTTTCACAACAAACACAAGCTTGCTACATATTCGAACAATCATATTTGGACTCATTTCACATTTATATCATCAACATTCATACAATATGTGAGCCCAACCTACAATAATCAACCTAGCACGAAATACCTATAAATCTCATGAATATTGTTAGCCCCTTAATCACGTTGTCATTCAATCCACCAAATCCCACTTAGGGCCTAGATGAACTTTCACCTGCTAACTATAGTTAGGAAGTATATATGATACTTGATAATTTGGATTTAGCAGCTAGGGTTGCATGCATCATGGCATGCGTCAATGTGTCATGGGCTTATAGCTAGATAAAGGATGGACTTGGCTTGTTTAGTTGTTTTGGAGGAAGAAAACTTTATAATAGCTATAATAACTTTCGCTAAAAAGTGGAATACTTCTTAAAGGTCGTAAACGGCAAAAACAATTACAGTCATATTTGCAACTTCTATTACATTTTTTTTGTGTTTTTTCAAACATAAGATAAAGCCTTTAAAATAAAATCGGTGAAAAAATGTTACATTTATGTTTCTATCCCTGCATTAGCTTAGGCATTTCTAGCAAAGAAAAATCATTTCCCAATGGAAACTAAGGCTCTTATATTGGTGCTTTGCTTCATGATTTTAGATCCTAGAAGACAGAATGCCTTATTGGTAGGAAAGAGGAAAGACAATAGACTCATAATCCAGAGCCCATATAGCAATGGGCCAGAATCGATCAAATTGGTAAGCCCACTTGGATATTGAGCATTTAAGCATAAGAATAGGATTCTTTTCGATGAGTAGTTGCAGGCGCAATTTCAGAAAAGATAACTTGATAAAGCTTTTCGTACCTTGAGTCATTGAGTCATTATATACCCTATTCTATTTAGGGTTTTAGTTTTAGCTATCAATTTTTTTTGGTCACCTTCAAAATTAGTAAAATTTGTAATACTTTATCGCAATTTTATTAGAGACTTCAACAAAATACGTGATTCCCAACAAAGAACTACACATTCATTGAATAAAAGAATATAAAACATAAACAACCAAAAATACGAATCTAAAGTTATATATTTATAATAAAACACATTACTGTTATACAAGATTTCAGTTTTTTTTTCCGGCCATCCAAAGATTACCGAAGTTCAAGAAATTTTGAAACGTGCAAGAATCCCAATGCAGCATAAATCTACGACGCCAAAGAATTTCCAAATCGGGAAAAAAATCTATGCGACACCGTCGCACAACGCATCGCGTGCGATATCCTCCGCTTGCAGTGCCGCGTGGTCCAGAGGTCCCACTAGCCAAGGTGATTCGCGTGGTCTACAGGTCCCACCAGCCAAGGCGATTTGCGTGGTCTACAAGTCCCACCAGCAGTTTCCTCTCGTGGTTAGCTGATCCACGTGATCTAAAGAAATAGATCGACGGTGTCACATGACCAGCCAAGGCGATTCACGTGGTCTATGAGTCCCACCGACAATTTCCTCGCGTGATTCAACCTGTTCGCTTATTGATTTCAGCCAGGCTAACCAGCAAACAATGTTTTTCTCTCGCAACAAACCAGCACCAGCCAGGCTTATCAACCTAGAAACCAAACAGCGAACGGCCGATTAGCTGATCCGCGTGATCTAAAGAAATAGATCGACGGTGTCACGCGATTACGTGTCACACGATTACGCCATGGCGCAAGAATTGCGCTGTGCGTCGGTGTTGCATAGGATTTTTTTCCCATTGGATGTCAGCTTCTCGGGAAATGGGAACTACTTCCTCACGTGATCACGTGATTAATCACGGCCGCAAACCGCCGCGCCGAACGGATCCGCGAACGCAGCGCTGAGTTGCAGTCCCGCCCAGGAACGACGGCAGCTCAGGCCTCAGGCGGCCGCCGCCCGCCCGCCTGCCTGCACGTCCCTCTCTTCCTTGTCCTCCCCTGGCCGTCTGTCGCGTCGGGCGCTCGTCGAATCCGGTCAGACCACAAGCGAGCACAAACACGCACGCACACACTGACCACAACGCGAACGCGTCGCCATCGCGTCCCTTCTCTCCTTTTCTCCCGTCCTTTCTCCCTCTGCCCCGCAGGCCTCTCTGCCTCCGCCCCGCAGTTCCACACCCACCCTACGCTCTCCTCCCTCTCCACCAGGCGCCTCGCCTCGCGAGGGAACGCCGCCGCAGCCGCCGCGAGGATTCGGCGGGCGTCCGCCTGGACGCGAAATGCCCGCCCAGAAGCGCCCGCTCCCGTCGCCCACCCCCGATGATTCCGCCTGGGCGCCTCGCGTCGCAGTGCGGCACACCGCCGCCAGCGGTGATGGAGGCAGGGGCGGAACCTCACATGAGATGGATGGGGAGGCCTCCGCGCGTCAGGAGAGCCCGCCGCATCGCCATCGGGGGCCTCGCGACGGTGGTGAGATGAACGCCGCCGCCCCGCGGCGCCTCTGTCTCTCGGCTCACACGTCGTCTTCGATGCCCTGGGTCGTGGATGTGCCTGAGAGGTTTCGTTTGTGTTTGGGCGGTTTCGCAGATCCCGACGACAAGGAGGTGGGTGGCTGCGGCGGAGGAGACGGAACCGACACCAACGGCGAATCGTCCCTGTCCCCGAGCGCCGGAAGCATGGACGAGTAAGCCTAAAGCCCCGCTCTACTGTCATCTCTCACCCCCTCCGACCTCTCTTAGGTTGCCTCGCGTGGCCGTCACGGCGATCCGACGACCTCGTCGCCGCCTCGTGTCTAGTGCGCTAGCCGCTAGCTGCATCTTGTAGTTGTGCTGCACGCTGGCATCCGGCAAGCGGGCAAGGCACGTGCGGATCCGGGCACTGACAGCAAGATATATGGATCCTGCTAGAAGAATTGAACGTGCGTGGACTCGGGCTTTCGATGATATGCATGTTTCCGCCACTGACCCATGGTAACTGCTTTCGTTGGGATGGCACAAGCTGTGGCGTGAGGAACAGGAGCACGATCGATCCTTAGCAAGGCCTGAGGACGAGTCACGTCTCCTGCTAGTCCCTCGAGCTCACGTCGGCCTCTTCACTTCTCCGTAGACAGTGTGAAATGCAAGAGCTTTCTACTTTGCTCTATCAAATTTGGTTTCTGGTTTATGACCTCTGTTAACAGAAGCTTATAGAGTTGGGATTCTTGCTCACAGCCTCAATCGTTTTCTTTTCTCCCCAAGAGAGCAAGCTGCTCCTATCCTTTCCCTCCTGCTCCAACTTGCAACGTTGTACCAATCAAAGCAAACAACCAGATAAAACTAACAAAGCTAGCATATCGTTATCAGGCAGCCTGATAATTAATTTGTAGCCTAATGAACTGAAGAGTTACAATGAGGCCCTAACCTCTTACACCAGCATAACTTGAAGTTTCAACGCTGTTAGGAGTGGAGTTGTGTGAATAACTGAACATATCTTAGTTAGTCTCTTCTTTTAAATGCCTAGCATCTTCGTTAGGAACTGAAAGGAAATATTTTATGGCTCCTTTCTCCGATAAAATAGTGTCATTCCATCGTGGGAGCCCTTGGTTCGATTGTACTCATGTACTGATATATAGTGGCCCTTTTGTTTTCAGTCTTCTTCCTTGCCAGTACGTCGGTGTCGGTGACTTGCTCCGTTGTCTGTTCCACTGGCCACCGTTGCTAGTCGTTTGTTCTGTTGTCATGCAGTATCAAAGCTTGACTCCCCTGCTGTAAGCTATGCAAACTGAAGAGTCTACGCTGTGTTTTTCATCTTGGATGGTTTCCTTTCAACGTGCTCTACAAACTTACCGAACAATTATAAGCGAGGCCACATAAGATTTCCTGGACTGGTCTCCACCAGACACCAGTCCGCCGGCCGCTGGAGACTAGAAATGTTTGGCAGAGAACCAACCGGCAGCGTGAACGAATGAAGATTGATTACACGCAACTGACCGACACGCCGGGTGAGAGAGGCGGAGCCAAGCCTTAATCAAGGGTTGTCAGGCTGTCAGCAGCTTCCAGACGCCGGGATCACCGGCCGCCGGCTGAGGTCGGTCGCGAGCCGCTCGCCGCATAGGGGAGCGGAGGACGTCGGCGCCTCTGTGGCAAACAACACGCACAAAGCCGGGGACGGCGGGACGCGCAGCGGCGATTTGCCTCACCCACCCGTGTTCTGCAATCTCAGCCTCAAATCTGAAACAAGAACACCCGTGTGTTCTCACGTGGATCGAGCGCCAAGCGGCCAAGCGGTATGCAAATATACTACAGCCCACGGCTTCCTCTTTCTCACTAGGCAGAATCGGAGCCACAGCCGCCAACCCAAGGAACGCGGAGAGGCGAGGCGGCCTTCACGCCTGCACGCGCCGCCCGTGCGTCGCTTGCTGTTGCCACCCCGCCCCTGGTCTCTCGCGCGACTTCCTAAGCCAGTCAGAGAAGCAGCAGGAGCCGGCCCCAACCTCAGCCTGTCAAATAGACCAAACCTGCAATGCAAACCCACCACAAGACGAACACCGCCGTGCTTATTTTCCTCTTCTTTCTCTCCGCATCCCTTCCTGGCAGGGACGGCTCCCTCACCCACCTGGCCACCTCCCACCTCTCCATATACTTACCCCTCCTGCCTCCTCCCTCCCCCATCCTCCCCGTCAAGGGAGCCACACCACCTCCCCTCCGTCCCAAGCCCCGGACGCCTCGGCAGGGTGGCGAACCACCGCCTCGCGCCCTTGCTGCAATCCGAGAGCCAAGATCCTAGGGGCAGAAACCCAGAATGCCCGCGCAGAAGCGCCGGCTCCCATCGCCGTCTTCGAAACCCCGCGACGACGTCGCGGCTACAGCCTCTGATGCCGCCGCCGGCGGAGGCGTAGGAGAAGGAAGAGGAGGACGCCCGCCGCTGCCGAGCAGGGGCGCCGCCAAGCGGAGGTTGACTGACCCGGAGACACAGCCACAGCACGGACTCGAAGACGGTGAGCTTGACGACGGCATCGGGACCGGCGTCCGTCGCATCTCGTTCTCTCACGATGTGCATGTCGCGTTCTGTATCCCCGCGCGAATATGGCTAAGAGGCTTGTGTGTGCGGGTTTGGTAGATTCGGACGCGGAGGATGATGGCGGCGCGGACAGCGACAGCGAGTTCTCCCAGAGCGACGGCGGCGGCACCGACGAGTGAGCCTTCCTTCCCTCCCTCCGATCTCGTGGACCCCCTTTCGTTGTCTACGATATGCTTGCGGCCTGCTCGCGGTGCCTGTCTCGTGCACCCCGCCCGCCGCTTTCTCGTATCCGGAGTCCCGACCCGCCGGTGGGCTTGGTCCTCGATGAGCTATCCGTTTCAGTCATGGTTGCTTAGTTCGTGTGATCAGGTCGCCTCTATGCAAACGCACCGATCGCCAAGCTGACATGGATGATGCATCATATGCGTTCGAGCTAGGCAGGCATGCGATGGCCTATATGATATGCACGCTTCCGTCATGATGCAGGCCATCGCCGCGATGGAGATTGCCGGCCTGCTGGTGACTTGGCACTGTCTTTGTTTTGTGCGCTTGTACTGTTGTGCTTGAACCACGGCTTTCATCTGAAATTCTGAACTGCTCTGTCTGCCGTGGCTATTGCTGTACGTTGGAAGAGTTGTCAGTTCCGACTGTAATGCACATATGTTTTCCAACCAGCAATGCACATGCTTTAGAAATTCATGAGATGAAATATTCTACAGCTTGGCTTCAGTTACAAAGTCCAATTTCCGTATTCTTTTGTCTCAGGTATATGAGTCAATGTATCCATCTCAGACTGTAACTGTAAGGAATTCTTTACTGGGACTATTTCAGTACTGATACCCGTTGGATAGTTGAATACTTAAGTATGCTCAAATATTCAGTTTATTAGTTAAATATCGACCTTCACTTGTGCCTGCTTTATGTGATCTTTGTGTAATGTCTTAAAATAGCTACTCCTATATCTTTTTTGTTTCAAAAGAAGAAATAAATGCAGATGCTACATTTATTTATATTTACCTGCATTTCACTGCACTACATAGATTGAAGATCATTATTCAGGCTCATGGACTTTGAAATATTTGATTTTTTACATGATTTGAAGCTTATGTGAACTGCTTTCTCTCAGGTTTATGCTAGTGAAATTAGCAGAGATAAGGAAGGAGGTTCAGTGCCCTATCTGTTTAGGTGAGAATATTCTTTCTAATTTGCTTAGAGAAACCTGGATGTTATATTATTATTTTCAGTTTTCTTGGTCGAAACTGAAATCTAGACATGGTATGATTCCCTTATGCCTGTACATATCTGATTTTTTTCAATTCATTGTTTAACCTAGCATATTAAAGATCCTGCTTGTTTCTTTCATTCAAATCTATACTACTTTGTGTGTATCTAGTAAATGGTCTGCACACTATTGTTGATAGATTGCAGGCTATTTTTACCTAGTTCTATGTATTTATCAGTGCACTGGATGCATCTCAAACAGATAAATAAGTGAAGGCGGCGAATGATTGTCTTTTGAAATCTGTGACATTCTCTCAGTTACCTTCCTCTCGTTTTGTGAATAAGGACATCTGTAATCCCATTACAGACTCAAAGTTCGTATAGTTAAAGTTGCGGTTTACACTTTTTGAAGGAGAACTCTGCAGTTGCACTAGATTCTTTCATTTAGTGTATTATGTAGCATCAATATGATTTTGAATTATGTTTTCTTGATGAAGATTCAGATTAAAAAACCATGTCTCTACATTGAATTGTCTGCACTAGCTGTCTGCCAGTATAAACTCATCTTCCAGTTATTTGTAGCTGGGTATCATATACATGTCATTTTTAAGGGATCGCTCCAAGTGTAAATCGCACTGTTCTCTTAGATGTGATACAACTTCTCGCCCTTATTGTATTTCCTATTCACTGTGGCTGTAACCCCCATGTGATTCTGGTGTCAGTTCGTCTCTAATTTCTCTAGTATAACCTACCATGTGTCACATCTGATGGTTTTTATTTCCTATAGACCATGTGATGTTTTTTATCTTCTGTTCATACAAAATTAGGTAAAATGGTTATATTAATCTGAGCTAAGGAATATATTGGATGAAACCCCATATCCAAGTAGACATTCTGTTTGTTAGATTACAAATTTCTCTAAATCGCGCACAATCCCTCTGTCCCAAATTATTGGCCGTTTCAGTTCTCTCCTAAGCCAAATTTCTCTATCTTTTGACCAAGCTTATAGAAAACTTGGTCAAAGTTAGAGAACTTTGACTTAGAACAAAACTAAAACGAACTACAATTTGGAATGGAAGGAGTTAGATACAATAATTTACATCTTTGAAGTCTGAGAATTTAATTGCTTGATTGGCATCGTTTTTTGTCAGATGACAATATACCATGGAGTCTAATCGTTCTATTTGACAGGTATTATCCGGAAGACAAGGACAGTTATGGAATGTCTGCACCGCTTCTGTAGAGACTGCATTGACAAATCTATGCGGCTAGGGTATGATGCCAGGCATCATTTTCTCTAAATCACGCACAATCATTTATTTCATTTTTAAAAGTATAATTGAAAGCCTAATTTTGTCTCTGGATCATAAAATAGAGGGCTATTATCTGATACTAAAGATAATGCTCTGATTTGCAGAAATAATGAATGTCCAGCATGCCGCACTCATTGTGCAAGTAGACGTTCTTT